TCGAGACGTGGGCCCGGGGGACGGGTTGGGCCAAATTCGGGATTTTTTGTATAATTTGATTAATTTCGTATGGGCTTCGTCCCTTTAGCATATTCTAATATTATGATTCTGATTTTGGGTAGATTCGGCGCGGGTTGAGGCCGAAGCGAGAGGCAAAGGCGTCGCGGAGTAGTAATTCATCTGGTTTGAGGTAAGTAACCATTGTAAATTTGGAACTGAGGGTACAAAACCCCGGTATTTCGTATCGTTTTGATAAATGAGGTGACACACATTTTAGGTAACGAGCATGTGGGCGTGCACCGGTAGGGATTGTGACTTGGTCCGTCCCGTAGCGGCTATTAAACTGCGCACTTGATTTGAAGTCTTATGATATCCCGTATTTTAGAAATTTATACTGTATTATGGGTTGTATGTCATATTTGGGGCTTTGTGCTGACCTGTTGAGACCCTTAGGGGCATTTTTATTGTTTTTCCTCACTCTATTTGTTTGAAAACATATCCTTAGTCATGTTTACCTGTTTATTGTTTAAAACTGGTTTTATCACTCTACTTCTTAAAATGTGAGAATTGTTCGAACTGAGTTCCCTAATTTCTACTGTTATGCCCGAGTGGCTGTGAGGTTAATGACTGAGAGAGGTTGAGGACCTAATGGTGAAGATTATATATATTATGGATCAGGCTGCACGCAACAACAATACTTATATGGATCGGGCTGCATGCCGCAGCGATATATATATTGGATCGGGCTGCGCGCCGCAACGTTATGACGCTTGGGCTGTAGGTGCCCCTCCGGAGTCTGTACACCCTCAGTGAGCGTAGTTGACTATAAACTATGGATCGGGTTGCACGCCACAGTGGTTATTATGATTATTACTATTATGAGGTGCATTTGAACCTGAGTGCTGAGTGTGAATACTGAGTGGCGAGAGCTGAGTCACGAGTGACTGAGAAGCTTGCCCCAGAGGCTATATTTATGAGTGATACCTTGCCCGAGGGGACTATTTATGATATTTTTGCTAATTTCACTCTTCTTTTATAATGAGCCTCTGCTGAAAACTACTAAGTAAATGATTTCAAAGTATTTCAATTGAAACTGAAGCTTTATGAAGAAATTGGTTTTGAAACTATCGAGTTTGACTTGATATCCTGGTTTTTACTCTTTTATATGATTTTTAACTACTCGTCACTGCTTTCAGACCTTATTTACTTTAGTTACTTACTGAGTTGGCGTACTCGCGTTACTCCCTGCACCTTGTGTGCAGATCCAGGTGCCCGAACGGCAGAGTGAGGGTCCTTAGCATTGTCAGAGTTTGCCGGAGACTCCAAAGTAGTTGCATGGCGTTCGCAGCCCTACTTTCTTTCTTCCTATCCTTGTTTTTCCTGCATTTTAAACTTGTTATGTATGAGACAATCAGATTTGTATATTTAGAGGCTCTAGATTCGTGACACCAGATATTTGGGCTGTGTTGGTTTAATGTTTTACTGATTTCCGCACATTTTAGCCGTTTTATACATTTCTTATGAGAATTTGAGATTTAATCAGTGTTAGAAAATAGTTTTATAAAAGAAATTTATTGTGGTTGATGGTTTGAGTTGACTTGTGTAGTATTGCGATAGGCGCCATCACGATAAATTAAGCAGTTGAAATTTTTTTATCAAAGCAAAGAAAAAAGCCCAAATAAGAACTGCTTTTGAAAATTGATTTAGTACTTGAACAACTTAGGATTGTGTTAAAGACTATATGTACATGCTAATAACTATTATAAATAATTGTTTTCTGGTTGTAATGGTAATATTCACATTTGTTACAAAAAAAAANATAACTATTCTAACAGTCCACATGTAGTAGCAACAATAACAAGCTATTAAAAAAATCAAGGCGAAAGATACCAATCAAATAGTAGGTAAAGATAGCAATCTACCATTAAAAAGGATACCATACTAACACTAATGTTACTGGTCTAAGAAAGAAAGAGAAAAGCACTCGACTACCCACCAGCGTTGTGAAGAGCGTGAAGCGAGAAAAAGCGACAACCCCTATTTCGCTTAAAGCGAGAAGCGAAGCACTCGCTTTTTTGAAGTGAAGCGGAATTTTAAAAAAATAAAAAATAAATACTGCATAGACAACACATATAACTGTAAGCAAATGTTCAATACTTCAATGTAAAAACTAATGAGTAGCATCAATTAAAGCACAAAATGAGCATCCTATTCTTCTACAAGATTATCAAATTCTTGTATTCCACTATCATTATTATATTGCTCGTCATCTTCTTCAACTTCTTCTTCTTCATCAACTAGGAAGGGCAGTATTGGCATCAATTCTGAGAAAGAATCGAAGATAAAGAAGGCAAAATATGGTTTTGTTAAAAACTGGGCAGAGAAAGAAGAATCGAAGGATTGGCATTAAATCTGAGAAAGAACCGAAGGTAAAAAAAAAAATCGTCAGCATTTCGCTGCTATTTGGGAGGAGGAAAATCATCACATACCTGTTGTTGCTGAATCTCGTGAAGACTTAAACTTGAAGTTGAAGAAGAAGAACCCTAATCCCCTTTTAGTCGCCTCTGTTGAAGACTTGAACTAAAAACCCTTCGTTTTTTATTAAATAGCCTAGCTTCTGTTTAAAACAAAGAAGCGCCCACTTCCATCGCTACGCTTCGCTTGGTCGTTTTCTCGCTTTTTAGCGGGAAGCGGTCGCTTTTTAATACCTGAGTCGCTTCACATGGGGAAGCGGGTACTGCTTCGCATCGCATCGCTTCTCGCTTTAAGCGAGGAAGCGACCGCTTTCTCTAACACTGCTACCCACTAGCCTTCTACCCTACTTCTCGACTTCCACACCCTCCCATCAAGGGACATGTCCTTGGTAAGCTCCAGATGCGTCATGTCCTACCTAATCAACTCTCATCAATACTTCTTTGGCCTACATCTACCCCTCCTCATACCCATTATGGTCAACCTATCACACCTTTTATCTGAGGCATCAATGCATCTCCTCTTCACATGCCCGAACCATCTCAGCCTTGCCTCCTGCATCATATCCTCCACGGGGCTACTTCTACCTGTTCCCCAATAACTTCATTCTTAATCTTATCAAATTTGATATGCCCGCACATCCATATCAATATTCTTATTTCAACTACTTTTATCTTCTGAACATGAGAGTTCTTGACTTGCAAACATTCGGTCATATACAACATAGTCGGTCTAACCATCATTTTAGAGAACTTACCTTTAAGTTTTAGTGGCACATTCTTATCACACAAGACACCGAAAGTGAGCCTCCATTTCGTCACCCTCCATTACAATCAAGAATTTTAGGAAATAGACACAGGCTCCATTGATGAGCTTCGAACACTTAGAAATGGAGAGAAATTGAATGAGAAAGATGAAGAAGAATAAGAAGAGTAGAAGAATCTATGTGTGAGAAAGAGACCAGAATATTCACAAAATAAATTTCTCTTTTCACGTAACTCTTATGTACACTCGAGGGCGGAGCTAGCCATCTGCTTACGGGTTCGGAACCCAGTAGCTTTTATGCAGATTCTGTATTTGTCTTGTGAAATTCATAGAATATGTACAAATTATTATTTTAGAACGCAGTAACTCAAAAGAACAAGAATTTCAAACCCATAAGCTTCCAATTCTGGCTTCACCATTTTCCTTATTTTTCTCAATCTAAATTTACAGCCTCCTGAATAGTCCCAATGTAAAAAAGTCCGTATAGAGTTTTATGATGCCCTAGACACTGTTTTCAGTCAACATAGAATCTTAATTGAGTTCCCTGGTAAACTTATGATATGTAGTGGTATTAATGGCAGCCATAGTGAAAAAATAGCATGAGCAGAAAGTGTGAAGAGGAAACAAAACTGTAGAGGTGTCAACAACTTTTGAAAATTGCAAGCCACAATACTTGAATGCATAATCCCAAAACTGACAACCAGCCATCAGTATCCATTCTGAAGAAAGTGAAAGGAGAAAAACCGGTTGCTTTCAAAGCATCAGCACAGGATCATTATAGCCATATTTGATATCTCTCGGGAATTTAGAAGCACATACAGTCAACCTCTCTATAACAGCCTCGTTTGTTCTGATATTTTTTGGCTTTTATATTGAATGACTGTTATACACCCATAATAACATTTTACGTTTAAATATTTTTTGGCTGTTGTATACAAAATTATCCAAATATCAATTATTTATCCTTTTCTAATGTTACATATAAAAAACAAGAAAATTATTCAAATTCAAAATCTTAAAGATATGCATATTTCACTAGTTAAATATTGAAGAAAGCTATCATATTATTAATAAATTCATAACTAAATGTATACAGATTTAAACTCTAAGGCACATATTTAAAACTACTTAGAAAAATAAATTTTTTCAAGATTAATGGAAGACTTTGTAATTGTAGCATGTTTCATAGATTTTATTCTCTTACTAGCGATATAGTGCTTGAATTGACGAAGATTCATATCCAAATTTTCAGCAAAATAGTATCCAATAGCTCTCACTTGAAAATAATCTAAGAGCTTAATAATTAAATTTTCTATATAAATATTTATTGGCATTTGTCCAAAGGAAAAGATATCATATACAAATCTTCAAATCTTATGCCTTATGCAAAATAGAAACTTTGTGCAATAGAAAAGATTGTGTGCATATTTTTAGAATTATTATTAGTAACTTTAAAGATTCTATATAACAGGGGTAATTTTACAAAGAACGTTCTGCTATAAATATGATTATTGTTGTTACAGGTAAAAAGCTATTATAAGGAGGTAAAATATAACATAAAAAATCATTTATGATGAAAACTTGACTTTTATAGTGAATGGTTGTTATATAGGAATGTTGTTATAGAGAGGTTTGACTTCATGTATTTCATCCTCTCAGGAAGAGTAAATCCAGGTTTACCACAATCCAGCGTGATAACTTAAAACAGAATATTAGACATGACCACAATGTGAAAGGCAATTTAAATTATTTACAAGTGCCTGTATCAACCTCAACAAGGATTCCTTGTAGTAAAATTTCAATTTCCCTATTATTTCAACAGAGACCACTGCTGGGGCGTTAGTCACAGCTATCGCAGGAGGTACAATCATGTGGAAATGAAATAGCACGAGACATAAGTTTAAAGAAAGAAACCTCTACTTTGCTAACACTGCAGAAGGAGCTAAGTTATCCAAACTGAAGTCCAAAAACTTAGATATCTAAATCTAAAAATCTGCAATTCTCTACTCTTCCTTCTTTTTCTTTCCCTTTTCTTTTGGCTGATCATTCCCCAGTACAAAATAATTACAGGGGGGCAAATTATCATACAATGAATCAGAGACATCATGACATGCTGGTATGCATCTTGAACATGCTAGAAGATTTAATCATGTTGGATTTAGCAGCATCAAGCAGCGGATCTGCCAGGATCGCCTTGTTGAAACAGTTCTTGGCTTCTTCCCATTTTCCTTCGGCAACACATACAAGACCTAAATTGTTCAAAGCTGGTGCATATCCAGGCTGCAGTTCAAGTGATTTGGTGAACATTGCCTTTGCACGTTCATACTGTTTTATCTGCCGATAGAGGTTCCCAAGGTTTGAAAATATTGTGTGCGCTTGTTTTGATGTAGCTAGTGACAATGCCTGTTTATAAACCTCTTCAGCTGGAGAAGACTCCTCGGACAGTTGCAGTGCAATACCTAGAGTGCAATTTCTTTTCAGAAGATAACTAAAACTGGGAAAGAAAAGAGGGGAAAAAAAGATGTGGATGCCATTGTGTAAAATGCATTTACCAAGATTTGACCAGGCATACGTGCAGTCCTTACTACGTGCAACTGCAGCCTTGAGGTACATTTGAGACATCCTAAATTGTTGGGAACAAAGACTATGAAGGCCAAGTTGATGCCATTGAGCAGCATCGGCAGGATCTTCAGCTATTGCCTGTCATTTTAAAAATAAGAAATATGAAATCCAAGTCCTCAGTTCAAACTTCATATTTCAAGAGTGTCACAGAAAATAATGAAAATCAAAAGTCATGAAGCAGGTGTAAGGTAGTAGAATAGCTCAGGAAAGAAAGAGTTAAAAACTAATTTCTTTTCACTGTAAAAAATAAAGTTCAAGCAGTTCAAACTCCTAAGCAACCTGGTCTGTTACCAGTTGCACCATAGAGGAAATATATATATAGATTAACCTTATCATATGTTCAACCAATAAATAACGTATCCCCTACCTGAACCTGAATTTACCAAACGAAGCAATAAGTCTCAGATAGAAATATAAAAATTTAAGGCCTACCTGCTTTAGACTGTAGATTGCATGCTCCTTGACTTCCACCAATTCATTATGCTCTATTTCAAATCCTGCCACAATTTCGTGTTGGGCCCTCTGGACCATGGCAAGACCAGCCCATGCTATTGGAGACTCTATTGAAGTAGAATCTCCTTCTCTTAGTATCGAGGCCATCTCATTCCCAGCCCATGAAAGCTGCTCATTGGGATTCTGGGACCTCTCTGCATCCCTGATGCGGTGAACTCCAACCGCATATCNTGCTTTTAAAGCTGCTAGTAAACATTCTTTGGCCACATTGGCTGCAATGACTTGATCTGCAGAAGTTCCATCAAGAGCATTTGCCCCCGCACCTGAAACTAACAGCCAACGCTTACTCTTTACTCTTTGTTTCCTTATTCTTTTAAATTTTTACATCATGTAGAACACATGCTAATGAGCACAATAATAATACTTTTTGCAGTGAATCCGTAAACATAAATCTGATAGCCTAAGGATATAAATTATGAAACAGATAAAATCCTTTTACCTGCAACTACTGAACCAAATTTATATAAGAGAAGGGCGGCATAATTGATTAAAGCAGTAGGATGGTTCTGATCTTTTAGAAGCAGATCTTGGAAGCACTTTTCTGAAAGCTCTAAATTCCCACTGGAAAGACATTGTTAAATTGATTCAATTCAGGAAAGAAAGTAGCTCAAGTGAACAATATAGGAAGATGTGCCTGATGAAATATTAATCAGTTAGCATATCTAATAAAGCTGTTAAACAGCAGCAGAACCCCCCCACCCCCCACCCCCAAAAAAAAACACCAATTTAAGAAAAAACATGAAAAGAAAAAGGCAGACAGTGAATCGGAAAATAGAATATGCATTAGATCCAAATACCAGCGTATGGCAGCCAATAAAAGCATGGAAGCTTGCAGCCAATGAGTGCGATAAAGACAATGTAATCAGTGGTATTAGCTATATTGAACTAAGGATTTGATCAACCTTCCCTGGAACCATAAAATCCCACTCAAGTCCATGATTGGTTAAGCTGATTCTCAAGAATGGTGAAAGCCTAAAATAGTTAACTGTTTTCACCATTTGCAAGATCTAATTTCGCTAGTTGTGTAAGCTCATGGGATTTGCTACGAAGGAAGATTACTAGGAAGTGGTTTAGTCAGGGATCCCTCGAGGTTCTCCCATAGTGGTGGAATAAGTAGATTACTTCCAGAAAATGGTCTCCCTGGCTAAAAGATAAACACTTCTCTTTCAATGGAACAGCGATAATGCCATCAGAAGACAGTATACTTTTTAGAAATCTAAGGTCTGTATACTTTGTTTTTCGAGCGCTAAGCTTCTGACATTTTCATCTATCCCATCTTGAGCTCTGCTCTAACTGAAGCTATTGCAAGGCTTTTGCCAATGATGCGATCAGAGTCAGCACTTATGAGCCCCATTACCAGGTTGGACAGCTTAGGCATTATAACCAAGAAGATTTCCACCTCAGTAAAATCGAACAGTATAATAACCACGAAAAAAGAGGATTGTATCTTGTAAGTGAGTAATTCCCAATAAGACACTCAATTCCAACTAACCACGAAGTCCATATGCTGTAGATGATGCATCAATAGCTTTTCAGCCCAAAATCAAACTAATCTCCCTACAAGTGTTTAAGATATAAGTTCTCCTAGATTTTTTTTCCCCTTTCTAATTGCAACATTAGTAGAAATATCATTCAACAAATAGGATACTCTGTGTCTTCGCTCTTCTCAAAACATAAAATACAACATCCTCTCTACCTCTCCAATTTGCTTTTAGCTTCTATGTCAATCCCTTTTTTCATTACTCTAATTTAATTAAAACGCAAGAGAATATTGGAATGAAGACATTAATATATACTTTGAATAATACAGTAAGTAGCCTAAAACCAATAAAAAGGAATGTCCCTTTATACCTCCGGAGACAAGCAATTCCAAGATTACCAAGGCAATCCAAGTTGTCTGGGGATATGTCCAACAAAGTTGAGAAAACTGATATAGCACTCTACAGAAACCATAAGTGTCAAAAGATAATCAGAGAAAGTTCCAAGTACGTCAATGAGTAAGAACAAAATTAACGCGGCTGCACCTGCAAACGACCAGTTCTAAGAAGTATTATGCCAAGAGCATTCCAAATAGACACCTGCGTAACATCATATTTCACAGCCTCCTTAAGTTTAGCAAGAATATTTTCAAGCTCTTCAGGATCTAATTCCTCATCTGAACTGCAATCTTCCAATGTTCCAAGCAAAATACACTGCATGGTGGAAGAGATGTGAAAAATATATGTGCAGCAGTAATTACTCGTTTAATTTTTAAAGAAAAAACTAATAAAGAGATGTTGACGTGCAATTTCTTTCAGTGTAAGTTGATTTATACCTGTGCATGATGAACCTGGACTAATGAAAGCAACTCTGGCCGATCTATTTCTTCCTCGGGGCGAACTAAAATTTCTTCTGCTTTCTCATATGCCAGAATTGCCTAGAATGAGCTGTTCAGTGCAAGAGAAAATGAAAACTGACCCACAGAAAGAACAGCGCAATCCAAAAGCTACCTTTTGAGGCTGACCCATCCTTTGATACATCAAGCCAAGCACAAAATGAGCATGTGCATTCTTTGGCATTTTTCGTGCAACGTGTATCAAGCCCTACAAACAAAGTAGATGAATCACGGCAAAGTTTAAACAACTGCACCAGGAAGGTGTTTGACTACTCTTTTCTTTTAAATTAAAATAAGATGATTTTACTAGCACAATTACCCTTATTTATTGGAAAAGATAGGAAGAGGATTTTACTGGCACAATCGCCTATCAAGCTTGTCCAACTATCAATATTCAATACAGTAAAGATAAATGGCTCAAAATACAACTTACAGTTTTAAGGCTGCTAACTTTTTCTTCCCGAGACGAAGGTACACCTTGAACATTATGATCAGGCTCTGCATCAGCTCCACTACAGTCAGGAGGACAATCTAACTTACCCATTCTTGAACGGCATTTTCCCATTTTTTTAAATTGTTTACCTTCTGTGTCTGCAACCTCTATGTCTTTTTTCACCTTATCCTGAAAATTTTCATCAGCTATTATCCTGCAAATATATCAGAACCTGGTTAAAGACATAAAATAAATTCTCATCCCAACAATAATATCAACCTAATAGAGCTAAAAAGAAAAGCAACATAAAGCGTCATGATCGAGGTCAATTAGTTCTCCCAGTACAAGGACTCCTTACATGGCTGCCAGCTGAAATTTTAATAACATATCCTAAGAATAGTACAAAGTAGGGCCATCTTCACTTACCACTACTTCCGACCCAAAGGAATGACAATCTTATTATTTTGTGAATCAAAAAGCTTTTACTTTGACTATGATCTTTTTTCTACTATTTTAGTAATTTCAACTGCAAACAGTTGTATGTAATTTATACTACAACAACAACAACAAAAACAAGCCCAGTGAAATTCCACAAGTGGGGTCTGGGAAGGTGAAGTGTACGCACACCTACCCCTACCTAATGAAGGTGGAGAGGTTATTTCCGAAAGACCCTCGACTCAAAAAAAGTGAAAATGAAGCAATAAATAGACAGTAGCAACAACCATGTAAGTAGACATGGGAACAAATGAAGATACGTGCAACAACAGATATCTAAAAATACGACACTATAAAAATAGATTCAATCTTGCTGGAAATAATGGTACAATATGAAATAGCAAGGGGCTAGGCATAGAAAAATACAAGACTAGGACTAATACTATTGGGATGCCTAGACGAAACTCTAGACTGCCTATCAACCAAAACCCTAATCCACGACCTCCACACCCTCCTATCGAGGGTCATGTCCTCGGTAAGCTGAAGTAGCGTCATGTCCTGCCTAATCACCTTACCCCAGTACTTCTTAGACCTCCCTCTACCCCTCCTCTGACCCGCCATGGTCAACCTCTCACACCTCCTAACCGGGGCATCAGGGTCTCTCCTCTTCACATGCCCGAACCATCTCAGCCACGATTCCCGCAACTTATCTTCTATAGAAGCCACGCCCATCTTGTCCCTAATATACTCATTCCTAATCTTATCTCTCCTGGTATGCCCACACATCCATCTCAACATCCTCATTTCCGCTACTTTCAACTTCTGAACATGAGATTTTTTAATTGGCCAACACTCGGCTCGATACAACATGGCCGGTCTAACTACCGCTTTTGTAGAACTTGCCCTTAAGTCTAGGTAGCACATTCTTGTCACACAAAACACCAGAAGCAAGCTTTCATTTCATCCATCCTGCCCCAATACGATGTGCGACATTCTCATCGATCTCCCCGTTACCATGGATCACAGACCCAAGAAATTTGAAACTATATCTCCTGGGGATGACTTGTGTATCCAGTTTTACGTCCACTTCTGCTTTATGAGCCCCAACACTAAACTTACACTCCAAGTACTCTGTCTTCGTTCTAGTCAACTTGAAACCTTTAGACTGCAGAGTTTGTCTCCACACCTCTAGCCTAGCATTAACCCCACAATGCGTCTCATCAATCAACACTATGTCATCTGCAAATAACATACATCATGGCACCTCTCCTTAGATGTATCGCGTCAACACATCTATCGCCAAGGCAAATAAAAATGGGCTAATAGTTGATCTTTGATGCAATCCTATCTCCACTAGGAAGTAGTATGAGTCAACTCCCATAGTCCTCACCCGAGTCTTAGCTCTATTGTACATGTCCATAATCACCCTAATGTACGCTACCGGGACACCGCTAATCTCCAAACATCTCCATAAAACCTCCCTAGGAACTTTATCGTAGGCTTTTTCTAAGTCAATAAACACCATATGCAAGTCTTTCTTCCTCTCCCTATATTGTTCCATCAACATCCTTACTAGATGAATGGCTTCTCTAGTCGACCGCCCTGGAATGAAACCACATTGGTTCTCCGAAATAGACACACTCCTTCTCACCCTCCTCTCCACCACCCTCTCCCAAACTTTCATGGTGTGATTCAACAGCTTGATACCTCTATAGTTATCGCAATTCTGGATATCACCCTTGTTATTGTACAACGAGACTATCAAACTCCGCCTTCACACTTCAGGCATCCTCTTCGTCCTAAAAATAACATTAAACAAATTAGTAAGCCACTCCAAGCCTGACCGGCCCGTGTTCTACCAAAATCCCACCGGAATCTCGTTTGGTCCGGTCGCCCTACCCCTCCTCATCTTTTGCATAACCTGCTCAACCTCCTCAACCTTAATACGTCTACAAAACCCGAAATCACGCTGGCTTTCCGAACTTCCCAAGCTCAATGGTCATATCCCCATCCTCGTTCAAGAGTCTATGGAAGTACCCACCTTCGCCTAATACACGCCTCCTCTACCAAGACCTTATCTTCCTCGTCTTTGATGTACCTCACTTTGATACACGTAATTTATACTAGGACTTCCAAATTCATACAGAATATCCCAAGCCAGTAGTGTACTAGTACAGTGGAAATGTAGAATCAAGCCTAGTCCTCTTTGAAAAGATTAAAATCCGAAACTACCTTATACGACATACAAATTAGACTATAGTTTACCTCAAAAAAAAAAAAAAAAAAAAGAAGTTCTGAACAGTTCAAGTCTCTTATCTCTTTTCTCAGCTTTTCTTCAATTTATTTCATAAGAATTTTGAAAGAACGACAGACAGAAGAAAACAGACAAGTTTCAAGTAGAACCTGGAGAAACTTGTAGGGGACACAGCAGCGACGGGTACAGAATCATTGCCGTCGGAATCAGGAGGGTCAACATTGAGGTCAGCCAAAATGATTTTGGGCGGCTGAGATTGCGGAGGCGGTGGCTGTAGCCTCAAGGTGACGGAGGTTCTATCAACGACGGGGGGGTCTGACTTCATTGAATGAAATTTGACGGAATTGGATGCCGGAATTTCGGATATTTTGGACGCCGATAAAAAAGAATCTTCTACTGAAAAAGGTTTCTATTCCGAATAAATATTAACCTTTTGGTCTCTGATTATTTGTCTAAATGCAGTTTGTCTCACTATTCTGGTCATTGTATGTAATGGTCCCTAATAGTTGATCTGAGGTTCAATCTAACCCTAATATTATGGTCTTAGTTGCATTTATAAGTATAAAACATTGATAGAAAGAGATCCTAATTGCATTGGTAAAACCTATACCTGTGGCTTAGAAAACCGTTGAAAATGGTAGGAGAAAAAAGACATTTATTAAGAAGGAATTTAAAATTAAAAAAGAAAAAAGACTTTGATTAAAGAAGACATATAACTAAAAGAAGTAAAAAAAATTGTGTAAAAAATATATCTTCTGGTTAAATTTTTATAGAGTACTAACTAGTAGAAACAAAACTATGTATCAGTTAGATAGTTTTCAAATTACAAAAGTTTGAAGATAATAAGAAAATAAAAAATTATATATATATATATATGTGTGTGTGTGTGCGCGCGCGCGCGCCCGCGTGCGTATACATATATAAATTATGCAATATGAATTTCTACCTTGAAAGAACTTTCGATAAGATTGAAAAGGCAATGTAACTTGTAATAGATATTAAGTGAATTCTCTTATGTGAAGTCTATATATATGATCACAATCCTAAATTATTGAGTTGGCTATCAAATATACTAACAATATAAATATTTTTTACATATCAATGTAATTAGCTAATATTTAAAGTATGTATTTTTGTATGCGCCACACCTCATATTTTACTTGAGTCTCGTTTGTTTTCATGTGTGTTGTGATTAGTTCAACTTAATTTTAGTGTTCATATACGTAGGAATCGATTGGAAGCGAAATAAAATGAATGTGCACGAGTTAAAGCAGAAAAAGAAGAAAACTAGACAAAGTGCAAGTTCAATGCCCAGACTAACGCTAGGCACTACCTGTAGTGTTGGGAACAAATTTTGCAGAAACATAAGAAAAGGCCAGCGCCCTGCCTAGCGCGAAGCGCTTGCCAGCGCCCTGCATCCGGGAACTGTCATATTTTGACTTGGAGACGGTTCTTTCGGTGCTACAAGCTCCTAACTTGTATAAAACGGTTTCTAAATCGAATTTTGAGGGAAACATGCAAAACACATGTTAGGAGCAAGTTGGAGCAAAGATTAGAGAGTTCTTCTATCATTCGTCTTTGCTTAGTACCTTAATCAATTAAATGCTTGCAAATTTGTTACAATAATTATGTGTCGCTAAGTCCCTTCGTTATGGGGTTGTAGTTAGCCATGAATATTGACATTTGATTGCTATTTTCGCCTTTAATATGGATTGCTATTTCATGATTATTTTTTTTAACTCTATACTTAATTGCTTGATTGTCTAGCCAACAGTTAAGTTCTATTAACTATCTAGAATATGCTTGAAAAGTCATTTTTAGATTAGAAGAGTTAAATAAAGTATGATCTTATCTCTAAGGTTAGGGGGTAGATTTATGGTTAAGATAGAATTACATCTAGTCACCATGCTTAATTAAATATTATGATCTTAATGCATTCTTGGTAGATTAATTCTATAGAAATATAGGCATTAGCCTATCTTGGACAAGCAAGTAATAATTTGAGAGAATACTACAAGTAAATATAATCTGGTTAATTAGTAATCATATGTGATTCGAATTGAAAGGAAATTAACTAGAACTAAATAAGATGTGTGAATCAACTACAACCCTAAATTATTTATTTCTACTGAAGTAACTCTAAACAATAATTCTACGTTGTCCTGGTTACTTTTTTATTTTAATTTTTGCATCCATAGTTTCATATCAAAACTCAACCTTTGATCCACTTAGTTAAATATTGATTTTAGTTGAATTAGTAGGTATTTAACGACAAGTTTATGTAGGTTCGGCACTCCTTTTCATTACTTTATTACTTATTGAGCATGTATACTTGCGTGTGTATTTGGGATCAACAAATTTTTGGCGTCAGTTGCCGGAGACTTAGAAATTAACTACTTCACTAGATTTAGATTTTATTGTTTATTTAGTCAAGTTTAATTTTTCTTGTTTTTGTTGTTTTTTATCCCAGGTACTTTTGCTTGAATGCAACGAGTTAGGAGTTAAGATAGAATTCAAGTATTTGACCCGGAACTTGATAGAATATTTCATAGAAGGTTGAGAAACAAGGGAAGCAAATAACCTTCAGGCACTTATTCAACTACTTGGTAAGATGGCGGATGCACAACCATTAGCGGTTCAAGAGGTGGTGATTCTCAGCATTACTAATATCACCTCTTGTATCCTTAAGCCTATGCACTTTGAGCTCAAACAGAACATGATCCAGCTGCTACAAGTGAATGGCCAATTTATGGGCTTACCACATGAGGACCCTTACCAGCATATCCTAAATCAGTGATACTTATATCACGGATAGAGTCACACTAGATATTTGCGACTCATACTGTTCCCTTTCTCTCTGTTGGGCAAGGCTAAGAGATGATTGAAGGCTTAACCAACGACCTCTATTATGTCATGGAATTATCTAGCTCGCATGTTCTTGGCAAGGTTCTTTCCATCCAGTAAGACAACAAAGACCCGAAATGAAATAGTTGCCTTGAAACAGAAGGAGGACGAGTCACTATATTCGGCTTGGTAGAGGTTCAAGAGACTGCTTCGCGATTGTCAGCATCATAATCAGACTAATGAAGTATTGGCTTACACCTTTATTGAAGATCTTTATTCGGAGAAAAAAATAGTGGTAAATGCTGCAACATGTGAACAAATGTTAGAGAAGAATTTGATGAGATCTATGCACTCTTGTATAAGGTCTCTAAGAGTAATCCATACTGGCTAGGAGAAGCAAGTAGAGATACAGTTCATAAGGCTAGTGGGCTGCTTGAGTTAGATGTCATTTCTGCATTGTCGGTACAAGTAGCTTTTTTGGTGAATCAATTCAATAAAATGGCTATGGTCCTGAATAAACAACAAGTTCAACTGGTATAACAAGTGCAATTATTTTGCGAAGTATGTGTATAAGATCATACCAGCAAGTTATGCCTAGCGAATTCAGAGTCATTATATTTTGTGGGTAATGCAAGTAAAGGCCAAGAAAATCAGTATGGGAACACTTATAATCCGAATTGGAGGAACCACCCAAATTTTCATTGGGACAATCAAGGGAATTAACCCCAGTATATATTACAGGGTCAACAATAATAGTTTCGACCACCATAGGTTTATCAATCCATGAATTTAGCGGATAATATTGAAGAGATGCTTAAGAAGATAATGGTTGATAATCAGAATCAAGCTAATTCTATCCATAATATGGAAAGACAAATGAGACAACTTGCTAGCACCCAAAATACCCGACCAGCAGGGACACTTCGTAGTGACACCGAGATGGATCCTCAAGCAAATGATGTTGTGATATTAATTTTAAGGAACGGGAGAGAGTTGGTTGAAGTATCATACAAAAAGAGAAAGCCAGTAACTTTCACTGAGAAACAAGTTCAGGTGAAAGATGAGATAGAAGTTTCAAATGAACTAGAGAAGTTAGAGAAAGAGCCACAACTATTTTTTGTGGCTATGCCACCACCTTCTTTCCAGTAGATATTGCAAAAAGTGAAGGACAATATTGCATACAAGAAGTTCCTGGTTATTCCGAAACATGCGCAAATCAACATTCCATTGATGGACATCTTGCAAGAAGTGCCAAAATATGCAAAATACATCAAGAAGATAGTAGTAAATCAATGGAGGTTAATTGAGTTCGAAATTGTGGAACTCATGGAAGAATGTAGTTCGAGAATTCAAAGCAAGTTAACTTAAAAGTTGAAGGATCTAAGGAGATTCATTATTCATATTTCGATTGGTAAGCATGTAGTTGGGTGAGCTTTATGTGATCTTGGAGCACGTATCAACTTGATGACTTTATCTGTGTTTAAACAGTTAGGGTTGGGTGATCCTCGACTAACAACAATGATCTTACAGTTGGCAAATGAATCTCTAGATAGCCTGAAAGGGACGATCAAAGATGTGTTGGTATAAGTGGCATCATTCATATTTCTCACCAATTTTATTATCCTGAATTATGAACCTGAGCAAGAAGTCCCATTTATATCGGGACGACCATTCCTAGACACAAGTTGTGCTATTATTGATGTTTGTGAATAACAGATAACGATGAAAGTGAGTGAGCTATGTAACGACCCGACCGGTCGTTTTGAGCTCCGACGCGTCATTCAGCAGTTTGAGGCCATGAGCGGCTTCATCTCAGGTATATTGACTTGTGTGTACGGTCATAATTAAAATTCAAGAAGTTTGGAGTCAAATCTAAATGGAAATTCTCATTTTGAAAGCTTAAAATTGAAGAAATGAACTAGGATTAGAATTTTGAGTAAACGACCTCGGAATTGAGATCTGAAAGTTCCAGCATGTTCGTATGATGATTTCGGACTTGGGCTTGTGTCCGGATTTGGTTTTGGATAACCCGTGAGCATTTCGGCGTATATTGTGGAAGTTAGTATTTTAGAAGAATTTCATAAATTTGGGTTGGAAGGCATTTCAGAGTTATAGATGTGTGTTTGGGATTCCGAGTCTGGGAATAGCTCCGTATGGTGATTCTGGAGTTGGGAGCGCGATCGGAAGTGAATTCGGATGTCCGGAGGTCATTTCGAAGTCATTTGGCTAAATATAGAAATTTGAAGGTTTTTGAGAAAATTCGACCGGAAGTGGAAATTTTGATATCGGGGTCGGAATGCGATTCCGAAAGTTGGTGCAAGTCCGTAATGTCGAATATGACTTGTGTGCAAAATTTGAAGTCATTCGGACTAGTTTTGGTAAGGTTTGAGACACTTAGTCTCTTTTAAGGAAGCTTAAGTTGGAAAAGTCAACCGGATATTGACTTATGTGTTAGAGGGCTCGAAATGTGAATTTTATGGTTCGGATAGCTTCGTTAGGTGATTTGGGACTTAGGAGTGTGTCCGGAATATTTTTGTGATGACCGGTGTAGAATTTAGCTTGAATTGGCGAAGTTAGTATTTTGGCGAATTCCGGTTGATA